AATATCTAATTTAAATCTTCCATCAAAAACTCAGTTATCATTTAATCATCTTCAGAATTTGATTGATGCTGAAAAAAGTTCTTATCAAGTTGATGAAGATAGAATTGAAGACCTTAGAAAACAACGAGATAAAATTGCAAAGCAACATGTTATTAATATGATCAACTCAAATATTTCAAGGTTTGTTTTTCTTTTTATTTCTTTGAATAAAATAGAGAATAATTTAATAGAAATGCTGGTCAATTTGATGCAATTCGACAAAGAAGTCGTGGTGTATTTGAACAATATTATGGATTTGAAGTTAAAACATTAAACTCAGGTCTTCCAAATGAAAAAGTTATTGATGGAGATTACCAATTTTTTATTCAAGATGGAAATATATATGCATTACAACTTTCAACAAACTCAACAACATGTTTAACTGAAGGGATATTTTCATTTATTAAAAAATTATTCGTGAAAAGAACATACAGTAAAATTTATGTTGATACAATTCGACATATTTTGTATGGATTATCTGATATTGATATAACCATTTATTCAACAATTACTTTAGAATATTTTGACACAATCACTTCAATTCATTCTTCATTATCTGTATTAACAAATCAGAGTGGAAATGAAATTACTATTAATTCATTATTACCTTTGTCACCCGAAACATCAAATTTATTTACTTGTATTGTTATTTTTTCTTCAAGATATATTGGGTATGTTTCAGGACATTCATTAATTTATGTACGAGACATTGGAATTGATGAACAAATCATTACATCAGCCATCAATAGAAATGCCATTTTATTAGCAACACCAAAAAAAGTATTTTTGTTTATTGAAAGTGAACATATTTCAATGATACGTGATGAAGATGTTTTTCTTGTTTCAATTGGAGAACTTTCAATTACCCGTGCTATTGCTGATGGAACGGGGTTATTATACCCAATAGATGATGTCTCATTTTTGTGTGAATATGATAATTCTACATGTGAAGAAATAGATGATTCAGAAACATCAGGAAAATCACAAAGTAATACTACAAAGTCATATTATCAAATTACACTTCCATCAATTCGTAGTGTCATTTCAAAAAGTCAATGTACTAATATAACAGAATTGAGAAACCAATTTGAAGAATTAAAAGAATTATTTGGAAATGTTGTAGATGTTTGTTTTGCATATGAAGCTATCACAGAGAGAAATGAGAGAGTAAGAGGAGCTGTTGGATGTGCTAGAAATGAAGGAAATAGTGAAGAAGGAGAACTTGAGTTATTAATTGCAATAGTTCGTTCATGCTGGAAATTAAATGTGTTTGAAGGATATGAAGGGATAGTGTCTCTTCAGGTATTAAAGAAATTAGAGAAATATAAGAAAATGAGTGAGAGTATTGTAGGGATTGGAATTAGAGAGGTTTCACAAAGTGCATATGATATTCTTTGTGTAATGAAAGTTATGGGAAAAATGCCAGTAGGAAAGAGTGGAGTTTTAAGTGTTGAAGATGTTATTTGTAAAGAAAAAGAAAGTGATATCAAAGAAGTAATTTATGGAGTATTAGTAAATGCATTATTGAATGGACAACCATTTGAAGAACAAGTAATTCAAATGAAAAATAAACATACTAAGTTATTTGATAAAAAAATGGAGAAGAAGTTAATTGTTGAAAAGGCTCTTGTGATGTCACAACAAAGTACTAATGGATATGAAAATGATAGAAATAAATTTGGAATATTAATATATAATTCAATGAAAGATATGGATATAGAAATTTTATCAATAGAAGGGATGATGGTAATGTCAGGATTTCATGATTTATACATTTCATTAGTTTTATTAAGTTTAAAGAAGAGTGATAAAATGAAGAAGGAAAAATTAGAGTCATTAAAGCGAGTATTAACTGAAATTATGCAGCCAATAGAAGTTATAAGAGAAAGAATACAAAAACCTATGACAAGTGATGAGATGTGTTGGTTAATAAAGAAAAATTGTTGTGAAATTGTAAGTGGATCAATAAATGTTGAAGCAGAAAAGGTGTTGTATGATATTTTGAATGAACATAACCAAATTGATACAATTATTAGTTTGTCATCAAATGAAATTAAGAATTATTTGAAACAATACTGGCCTGAAATATTATGGAGATGGTATGTTAAGAAAGGGATGTATGAGGAGGCAATTAAATGTATCTTAAAGTTATGTGTTGAAGATATTTATTTAACAAAGATTAAAGTTGAAGAAGAAGATATAGAAATGAAACAACCAAATGATATTTGTATTAGACTAAGATTAATTACAGAAGCAATGAGTCTTGGTATGATTATTGGAATACAAGCTCAACAAGAAATATTAAAGGCATATAAAATATTAAGTATAATGAATGAATTATGTCAAAAAGTAGTTTCTATTGAAAATTTATTAATTCTTTCAACAAAACTTCATAGATTTGAAATTACTTTTGAAGTTATGTTATTTTACACAAACTCAAATGAAAAACAATTATTAAGATGTCTAGCATTATTCCTTGAATATGCATGGATGAAAGGTATTGATGGATTTAATAATGAAGTGAATGAATTTTTGAAATTAGTTGGGGATGCAGTACCAATCTCTTTGATTGATTCATTCAAACAACAAAAAGAGAAAAGAGCAATGATGTATTGAGACAAATTGATTGATAATTAAATTGTTAAAACACATTAGTCTTTTTGTTCATTTAATTGGATTGTCTGGACTTCAGCAGACTTGTCATCAACTAATTGTTGGTTTTCTAATGACAATTGACTTTCATAATATTTACCATTCAACCCAAATACTATTGAAATAAATCATTTGCAAATAATAAAAATAATAATAAATAATAAAAGTAACAAACATCCAATTTTATAATATGCACTTTGAAGGAAATATAATTCAGTTTGTGTTTTAGGTAGAATGCCATGAATAATTAATGAAGCATAATCAGATACATTGTTTTCAACTCCAAACCACCATTTAACACTTCCTATTCCTTTTGCAACCCATCCTATTTGGTTTTTAATATCTTCTGTTAGAGAGAAGACATGAATTGTTCCATTTTCACTATGTAATGCTACAAGTTTACCATCATCTGATAAAGCTACACAATAAACATGTGCAGGATTCATTCCTCTTCTAAATTCTTTTAATAATGTTCCACTTGTAGTTTCCCATATTCTGACTAAAGTACCATTTTCACTAACAGTTACTATTGTAGAATCAAAACTAGGTGAGAGAGTATAAATAGAGTGTTCATGAGCACTAATCACAGCAACATCCGTTTTATTATCCAAGTCATGAATAGTTATTGTTCCTTCAGTGATTGATGGATATGCAAACTTTCGAGAATTATAATTAACAGAAAATAATCCATTTGGATTATCATATGTGTCAAATGTAGTAGGAACTTTTCCTTCACAATATACATCAATGTTATTTTCTAATGCAATGAATGTGTCTTTCTTAGTCATTCTAATTCTTCGTATTGCCCGTGCATAAGAATATTTATTACCAGGAACAAAATGATGATCATTTAAATCATAGAGACATGCAACACTTGGTGACTCAAATGGATTTGGACCACCACCAACTAATAACAAATATTGTGACTCTCCTTTAAGTTCTATTAATCCAACTCCTCCAATACTTTCATGAAATATAGCTTTTGATGTATTGTTTATGTCAAAAATATAAAACCCATTGATAGTTCCAATACCAATATAACTTTTTTGTTCATTAATTGAAACACAAAGAATAGTATCTTCTTGTTGAGTCATAAACAAATAATCTTTTTAAGTTCTACCAATTATAGAGAAAGAGAAAACAATCAAATAAACATCATAAATTATTCTATTTTGATGTGTAATTTTTGATACACTTTAAAAATCAATAATATCATAAATATTAAAGAACAAAGCACCAATGCTATTCCTACTACAAGCATAACAATATAATAATATGATGTTTTACATGAATTGTCTATTTATTAACTAATCTGCTATTTCATTTTCTCATAAAAAAACAACAACAACAAACTATTTACTTGTAATTTAATTTCTGAAGAAGTAGAAAGATCAGACTCACAATAACTATTATTATGATAAATAAAACTTGGTTTTGTTGATTGAATTATACCAAATATTGATTGAACTAATGTTAAAGGATTTTCACCACAATACATTTCATTATATTGTGAAATATTAAAACATGTTTTTTCAAATTGAATATCATTATTAACAATTAATTTGATAATTTCTTGGTTTATTTCTCCAAATTGTATTTCTGTATTAACAATAGATGATTCTCTACCTGAAATTAACATCATTCCATTTAATACAATAATTCTTCCTGTTCCAATAAATTTATTGACTGTAACATGAACATTTTTGTCTATTATTAATATTCCATGTAATAATATATTAGAAATAAACCCATTCTTGTTTAATCTTATTGTTCCTTCACAACTTATTGTTTCTATTTTGAATGGTGAATTTACAATTAATTCGGAAGTAACACTATCTTCAACTGAAATGGATTTAAACCTCACATCACTAATGTCTTCAAAATATTTTGAATTACTATAAATTGTTACTTTGTCTTGAACAACAAATTCATCAGTAACATCAAATAATCCTATAATTTCTAATATAATTGGACTATTAGGAAGTGTTAATGTTTTATAAGTACCTTTAATATTTTTAATATACGTTACTTCTATCAATTCACTGAAATCTATAGTACAATTAACTCCTTCACATGGACAAATTGAAGAATTACTTCCCCAATTTTCAGGTTTACTAAAATCAGTATTATCTTTTAGTGGTTCAAAAGTACATTCTTCTGCAATGACAATTGAGATAATATAAAGTATTTCAATCATTTTAAACTCTTTTCAAAGTTCTTTTTATTCACTTTTTTGTTATTTGAATCGTAAAAGAATAATTAATGTTTTAAAAAACAATTAATTGAAAATTAGAAACGATACTAAAATATTACATTTTCTTTGAATGTGCATCAGTCATTCTCATCAAATTTGCTTCTTCTGAATCAAGAGATGATGACGATGACAATTCATTGTCACTATCGCTTTCTTCATCTTTTTTAGGTTTATTAACAACACTTTTCTTTACAGGCTCTCCTTGAATCTTCTTTAACAATTCAAGTTCTTGAATAGATTGTTGCATCTTTTCTTCGTAAGTCTTACCATCATAATCTCCATCTTTTCTTCCTTTTCCTTTTAAAATTCTTTGTAATTCTCTAAGTTGTTGTGTGGTATATTTACTTAAATCAAGTGAAACTTCATTCTTTCCTTTACTGTCTACATTAACCACAGCAAGTACTTCAATTAGTTTGTCTTTGTTCTTTTCAATTTGTTTTAAATCACTTCTTAATTTAATCATCTCTTCTTTAGTTAATGGTTTATTAGTATTTTTCTTTCTTGAAGATGCTCGTGTTTTCTTAGAATTACTCACTTCTGGCTTCTTTTCTTCTACTTTATTTAATGTTTCATTATGCGATGTAACATTAGTTTTTGTATCTACGGGTTTTTTCTCTTTGAATGCATTTTTCCATAACGTCTCAAATTGTTTTTTCAACTTAACTGCCCAATGATAAACCTCCGAATCTGGATGGTTAAATAATAATGCATTGTCAAATACTAATAACATATCAGCTTGAAACTCTTCTTTTGTGATATATTTTTTATCTGATAAATTGTGTTTAATGGTTCCTAAATCCATTGGTCTTTTAATTACACTAAAGTATGTTGGAACTTGAAGTGCAACTGGATCAACTGGTGTATTAAATGCAGGAGATTCAGGTTGGTTCATTAATTTTCGATTTAATTCTTTGCATTTTCTCAATTCCTCAGAAGTCATACTTTCTTGTAATAATGTTACATCATTTATTGCTGTTACTGCCTTTTCTATTGGAATTCTCATAGACAAATTGTGTGTTACATCACTACTAACTCCATTAGTACTTGTGTTATTAGTAGACGTAGCAACAGATTTTCTACATTATTAATACATTTCCAAACACATAAAACATACCATAAAACAAACTCTAATCTTTTTTTTATTGGCTTTTCTTCACTCACTTTCATTCGCTTCAAACAAACTTCATCATCGTCATCTTCCCATTCAATAGAGTCTTTGTCCTCTCTTATTTTTAACTCATTTTGATCTACATCTCCAAAACTCTCAGACATGACTCTGTGGTGTTCTCTTCTTGATTCTTTGAAATGACTCACTTCCCTTTTTATAGGGAATACCCTATTTTTAAGTTCTCAACCCTTAATTTAGATTCTATATAGATTTCAGTCTCTTATTAGAAAGAACTAGTTTAAACGTTTTGACGTTTTCCAGATATTATTTTTCAATTTTTCTTTTCCCAAGAAGAGAAATATATTTTGTGTTATTCAAAACACAAATCTTAAAAAGAAAATAACCTTTCATTTTGAGATGGTGTTAGTGTTATTCTTCATAGTAACTTGTTTTGGTATTGAATGTCCTAACAACACATTCTTCGACAACGGAAAGTGTGTTACCTGTTCACCATATTGTGTTGAAGGTAAGTGTGATATAGAAAAAGGATGTGTTGAATGTGTCAATCATTTTCAAGAATCAAATAAATTGTGTGAAAGTAGTTGTGAAGAAAATAAATATTATGACGGAGATGATTGTGTTGGTTGTTCTGAACATTGTATTAATGGATATTGTGATAAGTTAGATGGTTGTACATTATGTCAAAGAGGGTATTTGGCTTTCA